AATTCTGAACTTTACTGGATTTGGCTCTTGAGGGCGGAGGCAATCCCAGGAGACCTGAGGTTTGGTTTCTCTGAATTATTAAGAAAACTATTTTCATGGTTTAGTGTAGTGGATTCCAACCAGGAGAAAGGCAACCTAATTTTGAATAATTTTTCCTTTCTGGAGCTCAAAATACTCGTATTCATTCGCAGTACTTCCAGATTTTTGCTTACAGTTTTTATAGACAAAAGCATGTGATAATCAAATAATAGTCAAATTGTTTTGCTTCTTTATTGTGGAGTTTAAACAAATTTTGGCTATCCCAGCTTACGAAGTCCAAAAGATAAGAAAACTGTTCTCAGCATGAATAAACTGGGAATGTATCTTGACATCAAAAATTTATTTTCCAGTGCATTTCACGGTTTACTCACTCTGAGAACTACTTCTTATCTTTTGAACTTTTGAACTCTCTCTTTATCGAGATGAGCAAAAAATGAACACGGGTTTCCTTTCAATGTCCTGGAATACCACATGTAAAATAAAACAAATAGAAACTCAAGACACAGCAATACACGGTGGCCAATTATGAGATAACAGAAGAGAATTTGTATTGGGCTTCAGGCATGTTAAATGCAATACTGAAATGAATTTTGAAATAGGAAACACAATAGGCAGCAGCTGTCAGAAGGTGTGCCTTGCATCTCCCATAAAGCACATCTCGCTTGAATTCAACTGACAGTAACAAGTCAGGGCCAGGAAACAACTCAGTCAGCATTCTCTGTCTTTCATAAATCTATTTAAGGCAGAAACCCCATTAACATTTTAATTGTTTCACAGCTAAAGTTGCTCTCAGCGCCACCTTTAAAGGGCTCAGATTCATTAAAATTTAAGGGACCAGGAAGTTCATAGTCTACTCTAATGACCTAGTGATGGTTGCAAAGGCTCTAAATATATTTTTGGCTCATGGAACGGCTGAGGAATTCTTTGGAGGGGCTGAGTGTGTGCCCAGGTAAGCTGTTGCACGGCCCCATCTCAATACCACCAGAGAAATCCCCCTCTTCTACCTCGTCAGGATCCTAGGGTCTCCTAAAGTCCTGCTGAGCATTTTCCGCCAACTTTTCTTTAGTGGCTCACATTAATTCTACAGCTAGATTTCAATTTCACTGAGGTCGAAGTGTGATATCAGTTGTTCTAGTCACTGATAATCTAACCCACGTTTCTGCTCCCGCTGTATTGCCCCCTTAGATAAAAAATGTTCCCCAAACTTAAATTATTTATAAGCATCAGGAGTTCTTGTTTTGGCTGTGCTACAAATTAGCTGGGTGAGACTCTAACCTCTCTGTTCCCTAGTTTCTCATTTGTCTGTTAAAACTTTGGTATATGTTCCAAGAGATACAAGTGCTTCAAGGATTAACCAGTCTTAAAATACGTCCCTAATGTGACTCAATATATACAGCTATTTAACTTGAACACTTGCATGTAGGGGACTGTCTGCCCAGCACAACAGTTTCTCTGTTTGACTCTAGTGTGTGTTAAGCCCTCCCTGATAAGATGTAGTTAAAAGGTCTTTTTCTCTAAAGAACGTTTTTGGTTGATAATAATGAAACCCTCTCATCTGCTTATAGAGAGAAAATACTTGATTTTCTGTGGGAAAACTGAGATGGAGAGGGGCAAAGACTAACATCAAAATGATCCAAGAGCCTTGTACCATCAAAGTGCGTTAAAAACCAGGAAGACCCAAGATCATCTCACGATAAATTATTCGGGGTGTTAAGGAGCCATTCTTAATCCTGGGATTTGGCAGTGATAATGGGATGCGGATTATATGAAAACAGTGGTAACTGGAAGCATATATCTCCTTACCCTTTTTGCCATGTGATTTCTGTGCATTGAGAAACCTGAAGAGTGAGGTGAACTGTGTTGGTGGTTGTCAGTTTCTGGACGTGCCTCCATGGCCTTTGCACACACCGTGTGTTCAATTTTCAAGTACTTGAATTTGCCTTCAAAAAATGTGGCTTTGGACTCATAGCCAGAAGATTTTGGTTAGTGGGTAATAAATAATGATCAGAGTATATTTTAAGGCATTTTATGCCAAGATGTTGCTTTTGCAGGTCAAATCTGAACTAGAGGCTCTTGAAGTACTTTTCTTTGAGTAAGTACATACAATTTCACAAACTCTTTTTGTCCTGTAATTTTCATAAAAGCTATTTCCATTTCCACTAGTGTTTTATCTACATTATATCAGCATACACGTTGTCCTTTTTATTTCTTAAATCACTTACCCTTCTTCACTTTACACAGTTGACTAAGTTACCTGACAGTGTGTGTTCAAATCAAAAATAATTTCATATTCCCTTATCCATAATTCTGAAGTCCAAACGCTCTAAACACCAGCAGATACATTTTTGTTGTTGTTATTTGACACAAACTAATTTGGTGGCAAAACCTACACCAAGCTGGCATGTGTCTAACTATAGACTTTATTTATTTTATTCAATATGAAAACTTTTAAGTTTCCCTGAAAAATTTTAATGTGTTTGATTAGGATGTGACTCTCCAGATGCTTCCGGGCACATATGCACCACATTGCCTTTCTAAAATCTGAAAATTTGAATTCTAAAACAATTTGGCCCCAAGGAATTCAGATAGTTTTACCTTGTATTTCTAAATAGTATATTTGAAGAACATACTGACTTTCAAAAGGTAATTTAAACTTTTAGGAGTTTGCTTACTTCAACAGAATTCTTTTATAAAATAGGACTTCCTTTTAAGCAAAGAAGTACTCATCTATTTTTGTTTGTTTAAATTTTGGATGTTGGTTAGTGTAAAAAAAAGAAGGTCAGCTTCTTGTGTTCTCAAAAAATAAAAAAGAGCTTTATCATAATACTAATGGATTCTTTTAATCTGAAATCCCAACATTTTGTAACATCCCTTATCAAAAGTAAAAACAAAAGTAATTAGATTTAATCATTTTAGAAACTTCCCATCTTAATCAGAAAATAGAGACTAGATGATCCATTAAGGGTAATGCATGAAAAAATGAGTTCTGTTGTATTCTCTTAAGTCCATTGTTTCTGTATGGAAGAAATAGAATCGGTTGACATCATTGAAGAAGAGCTCCATACCAGGCAACATGACAAGGGCTTTCTGTATTATTTCATTTCATTCCATCTGAGCAACAAACACTGCAATTGCACTATGCCTCTAAGGTTGAAAAGTCATTATTTAGGGAAAGTGATAAGACAAAAAAAACACAAACCCATTTCTACAATTTAGGTGTTTTATTCATTCTAATTTCATTCTTTGTGCAGCGAGGATAAAACTTCTTTGGCTCCGCTCTTGGGTACTTTCTATGATGTCTAATTCCAGAGCGTGTCCTGGTCTTTGAAGGGTGAGATGATGGCCTGGGTAGGATCAGTCTGCTGGACCCCTTAGTTCCAGATTCAACATTAATAGAAGTAGATTTTGAAGTCTTTTTGCTTTCCTCTGCCTCACAAACTTCCCTATTTAACGTTTTCATAAATTTTATTTTGTTTTGTGAAGTCCCTATTTTGACCTAACAAGCTGCTGTATTTTCTAGATTGCGTTTGTTATAGACCCAGAGCTGTTTTGACTCTCGTGAGGGATTAGTTTCCAAGGAGAGTCAACTTAAATGTCTAACTCACTTTGCTGAAGTCCTTCCCTTTCCTATTAAATATGCTTATAATATTCTCTTTCGTGCGTGAAATTTGCATGACCACATGGTGCATTATTAATGGCCTCCCCAATGCTTTGCTTCTTGCTGTGACTACTTCAATTATCTCAAACTCTAAGCTCTTCATCTGGTGGCATAGGTGGGGTACTTATGTTTCTGGCATGACTTTCTAGTATAAAGGGAAAAGGTTGTTTTGAAGGAACTAGAGGTCCTCTTAAGGTGGAGTGGAGTCCCTTGAGAGGGGAGTTTTGGTCCCCATGGATACAGACACTTCAAGAGAGCCTAGGAGCCTGGGAAGAAGAGTTAATTCTAACGGACCCTGGAAGCCCACAGAAGACACTTTTGCATTTGACCATCTGGCTGAGAGTTGAACTTGAAGAAGTAACTGTTCTCACAAAGGAGGAGAGTTACACACAGACGGGATTGTAAGTGAGGCTGTCTGCCTCCATTCAGTGTGGCAACAAGAGATAGTAGGGCTTTTGACCTACAGACAAATTAAATGCCACCTGTCAAAAAAGTGAGCTTTATGGACGAGTCTTTGCAATTGTGTTAGATGGAAAACATATTTGTGAGGAAGCAGCTAGAAATAGAAAGTCTGAATTAAAATGAATTATTGCTTGAAGGAAAGATAAATGTCTGTTCTGATTGAACCCAAGACTAGCAGTGACTCCGTTATACTAACGTATCATCACTGTCTCTTTCCTTGTGTACTTCATTTGCCTACAAAATAAAACTTGTTTTCTCTTGAAAACCATCTTTGAAATTTTTGTGTGTTAGCAAAAAAATTGGCGAGAGCCTAAATGTCCAACAATGAGGAAACAGGTAAATTATGGTATATCCTTACAGTGGAACTTACAGTGGAACAATGCAGCTATTAAGAACAATGTTTACAAGGAACTTTAATGCTCTATAAAATGCTTATAAGTCAAAAAAGCAGGATGCAAATGCCTATAACAGCATGATTTTATATATAAATGTATAAATATAAAGACCATAAGTGCAAAAGGAGGGAAATGCATCAAATTGTTTTAATAGTGTTTATCTTTTGGTGGTGAATTATGGATAATTTTTAGTCTCTCATCTACAGTTCTCAGTTTTTACCAACTTTTCTATAATGAACATTGATTACTTTTTTCTTATGAAAAGTATGTTTAAAAAATTCTATTAACTGGGCTGGCCCCGTGGCCGAGTGGTTAAGTTCATGCGCTCCGCTGCAGGTGGCCCAGTGTTTCGTTGGTTCGAATCCTGGTCGCGGACATGGCAATGCTCATCAAACCACGCTGAGGCAGCGTCCCACATACCACAACTAGAAGGACCCACAACGAAGAATATACAACTATGTACAGGGGGGCTTTGGGGAGTAAAAGGAAAAAATAAAATCTTAAAAAAAAAATTCTATTTACTTCTGAAATAGTTTTCTGACCTATAATATGCTACTGACCAGAGCCACTTGAAGACAACTCTGTAAGGCCACTGTTAAGACCACCAGTGCCACCAAACTTTATATTTAATAAGAATCTTTATGGTTCGTTTGTATTTCAATAAGAATGTGTCAGTGTGTACTCTCTACATGGGTTGCTATTATTTATTCCTGTGATGATCAAAAAAAAAAAAGATAACAATTTCCTCTGTTTAAAGGTTCTTGAAGCATCCCAGAGTCGGGGGAAGAGCTAGCCATACCATGTGGGCTTCAGTCTTGTAACTTGGCTCCAAATTAACTGCTAAAAGCATAGTCAGGAATAAGTACGCCGTAAACATGGCTTCTTCAGGCCTGTAGTTAGTGATTGAGAGTTATAGTCTTGTGTTTAATTTCTAGATCTTAAATGTGCTGTAAATTGCTAAACACCTTAATGTTTATCATCTTGTTTCTACTCCTAAGGGTGAGATTAACCTGACTTGGCTTTTAGGTGATTCTTATTTCTGTAACCAGTTGTTTACAGATAGAAATATTTTGCTTACCTAGAACTCAATTATCTGGCTGACTGTATACCTGGAAAATAATTGAGAATCAAGAAGCAAACAATAATAGTGACATAAATAACAAAAGCTAGCACTATGGGTACTGGCTATTATTTTAAACTCTATGTGGAGTACTTTACCTCATTATCTCATTTAATCTTCATAACAACTCCATGCAATTGTTGTTGCTCTCCCTATTTACAGATGGGAAAGCTGAGACTCAGAAAGTTGAGTATCTTGTCCAAGATCACATAGCTGGTTGCTCTGGAACTTGAATATGAACCACATTCAAAAGCCCAAACATCCTCTAACTATTACAGTAAGTAAACAGTGCAAATAGATGTCACAAAGTCTGTATGCATGCAAAAAATACTGGATTTTATACTTCAAGGTCCCGAGAAAGGATCACTATATTTTTCAAATGACTTAAGCAAATTTATAAACAACTTACTTGTAAAGAAGGAAAGGGGACTTCTAGAAGCAGGAATTGATAGCAAAAAAGAAGATATGGCTGTCGACCGATAGAGAGAGGGGCTAAAAACACTAAAATATATTCCCAAGAACTTGGAAAGCATTATGTTCTGGATTGATTAGGTTAGGACATCTTGTTCGCTTGATTGGCCTCTAAGTGTATCAATCAGTAAATATTGAACTTGATTATGATAGATTTATCTTGTCAATAAAATTTTAGATTAAATGTAGTCCTAATTTTTACAAATATCTGGGTTTTTTGGTGGTAGGGGAGCGAGGAAGATTGACCCTGAACTAACATCTGTTGCCAATCTTCCTCTTTTTGCTTGATGAAGATTGTCACTGAGCTGACATCTATGCCAGTCTTCCTCTATTTTGTGTGTGGGAGGCTGCCACAGCATGGCTTGATGAGTGGTGCCTAGGTCCATGCCCAGGGTCTGAATGCATGAACCCTGGGCTGCCAAAGTGGAGCATACAAACTTAATCACTAGGCCACTGGGCTGGCCCCTACAAACATCTATTTTTATTATATAATTAATACATTTTATTGCAGAAAGATTAGAATATAGAGATGAGATAAAATAACAAGAGTCTCTCGTAGTCTCACAACCAGAGATATCCACTGTTAACATTTTGAAAGAGCTACGTAATATAATTGCAAATGTAAATATGTATGTTTATGTTTCAACAAAATGTTATCATACTTTACTTTTTAAAATCGTCTTCACTCACTATGCTGTGAGCATATTTTAAAATATTCTTTGATTATAAAAGTAGAGAAATGTATAATATATTTGAGAATGATTTGTTTCCAGAAAGGACAAAAAAACATTTATTTGATGATTTAAGGAAAAATACATATTAATCCAGAAAATTATTTTCTGTGATTCAGTGTATTTCTTGATGCTATATCAAAGAGGAACTAGTATACCTTAGCTATCTTCATGCCATAGAGCTCTCATTATTCTCCTCTCTTTAGATTGACCATTTTAAAGTAAGCTTTTTTTCTTTGTAAAGAAGAAAGGATCAATAATCAGAGTGATAATTTAAGGATGTTTTTAAAGGAAAAGAGTATATATTCCCTGGCTGGCGCTGATGTGATTCAAAGCCATCTGCTTATTTCACTTGAAATGCAGTTAGCTTTGTATCCATCAGACTGTTTAATTCAGAGGGAGGAGCAGGACCAGCTTCCAAAAGCTGTTTTCAGTTGATAGAGATTTAATGAGCACCTATTTTGTGTGGATCCAGTGTTAGATGCTTATTTAATGTAAAGAGGTATGGGATGTGCCCTCTGGACTCAGAGAAGTCCAGTCTAATGATGAAAAAACTAAAAAGGTAATTACAATTCAGTATGATGAATACAGGGAGAGAAGTGAGCTTAGGGGTCTACAGGGGCATGTGGGAAGTGGGCCAGGCTCTGTGGGCATATACACCTGAGCGGAGATGCAGAATGAGTATGAGCCTAAGAAGATAAGTGAGTGATGAGGGCAAGGAGGGTGATGAGGCAGCTTTCAGGAGGGGCTGCATGTACAAAGGTTTTGGGGACTAGAGAACAAGCATGCTATGTTTCGGGTCATGGAGGTTAGGGTATAATGTGGAACCAGGCTTGAGAAATAGCCATGGTCTATCAAGGAGACATTGTGTGCTATGCTGAGGAGTTGGGATTTTATCCTGAAGGAATGAGGAGTCACTGGAAATATTGTCAGTGGAGCTGTGAAGAGAACAGCTGTGGTTTTGATAAGTCACTCTGGCAGCTGTGTGAAGAGCCTTAAATTGTGGTAAGAAATGATCAGGATCTGAACTAAGTGTTAGAGATGAAGATGTTGAACTGATGAACTTGCTGATTGTTGGACGTGGGAGGCAAGAGAGTGGGTGGGGAAAAGGATGACATCATTATTTCTGGGTTAGGTGACTGGGTGCATGGTGGTTTCTTCTGCAAGTGAAGAATGCTCTGAATAAAGCCGATTGAGAGGCTAGGTCAAAGGGGAAGAGTTTATTTTGGATGTGTTCAGCAGGCAGTTGGATATGTGGATCTTGAACTGAGAGGAAGCAGTGGACTAGAACAATAGATTTGGGGACTGCCTGGGTATACAAGTATGAACCCAGGGAATGGAGGCAGGATTACTCAGGTACTATCTGTGGATTCAGAGGGACTCTTGAGGACCACCATCATTTAAGGAACCAGTATGGAATATTAAGGGTGTGAGCTCTGCTGTCTGGGTTCAAATCCTAGTTCCACCAGTTACTAGGGCAAGTTTTTCAATTTCCTCATCCATAATATGGAGATGACACATATTTGAGTCATAGGATGGTTGTGAACCATAAAATGAGTTAATATATTAAAGTATATATAATAGGACTGACGTGTAGTAAAAATTCAATAGATTTAGCTTTAGCTTTACTGTAATATTATAATGATTAAGGGGAATTTGGAAAACAAACAAACAAACAAAAGAACCAGTGAAGAACATAGAATAAGTGTTGTCAAAGGGGTGGAGGAAAACATGTCTGAGGGGAATTATAAAGATTAAGGTGGGCCAGAATTTTAAGAAGGGACATGAGTTGTATTAAATGTTTCAGGAAGAACAGGCCATGTAAGAGCTAGAAAGTGTCCTTTGTTTTTCGTTACAAGAGTTTGCTGGTGGTCCTGGTGCGATGGGGCCCAGATCCTGGTTCGGTGGTCTGAGGAATGAATAGAAGGTGAGAGTGGCGTGAGCAAGTGGAGACTACTTTTTCAGGCGGCTTGACTGAATTCAAAGAGTTAGGACGATGTTTGGAGGGAGACATAGGGTTGAGTGAGTGGGATTATTGTGAAATATGGGTGAATATGAAGCATTTTATATTAGTGAGGAAAGAGCCAGCACAGGGGGCAGAACTAGGCACTGAATTAAAAGAGCCCCTCATTTGTTTATCACATTTCCTTCAGTATATCCTGTGTCTGGCACTGGGCCACAAGCTGAGTAAACTCTCAAGGAACTCCAGTCTGCGACTGTGTATGAAGCAAGATGGCCACAACTCTTCCATTCATATCTTCTGGCTGACCATGACGTAAAGCATTGGGAGGTACCTTGCCTCCTTTGGCTGAGACACTCTCATTAAAATATTGGTCTGGGTCAGGAGTGTGCGTGAAAATATTGGTCAGGGTGAGTGATGGTGTTGACCTGGAGTATATGTGGTCATCTCAGTAGCTTCTTCAGCAGGTCAGACCACAGTTTAGAGACCCTCCTCAGTGAGGGAAATCCCTACAAGCTTGGCTACTCAGTAGTCATGTTGACCAAGCTATTCGCTGTGTGATCATTGACAACACTTTTCGTTTGAATGCTTTCAAAGGCAGAACAGTGTCTTGGAAAGAACATGAAGCTAGATAATAGAAAACTTGTTTCATTCATTCAAAAATATTCTTTCAGCACCTACTATGTGCCCAACAATATGCTACAGGCTGGAATTAGAGTGGGGCCAGTAGAGGTAGGATGGCTGCCCAAAAGAGCTTGCATTCCACTGAGGGACACCAGTAACTAAAGGAGCAATCATGCTCCCATACGGAGAGTAGAGGTCCACACTCTGTGCAAAAGTTCATGGCATCTTCCTGGGGGAAGAGATGGCAAGACAGAGGTGGGAGATAGATGGGGATTAGCCAGGTTCAGGGAACAGGGGAGAAGAGCTTTCTAAGTAGAGGAGCCAGCAGGTGTGGAAGTTTCGGAGTTGTGAGAGTCTGACACTTTACAGGACCTGAAAGAGCTTTGGTTAGGCTGGAATATGGAGAGTGCCGTCCTCTGATTAGTGAAGTGATATTAGAAACAATGACTCTGATCGTCTATCTTCCTCTCTTTAAGGCCAGAAGTGGGCAGAAGAATGCCTCTGTAGGCTACTGTTCTCAGAATGCAGACATGAATACAGGATGTGTGGGAAATGTGGGAAATGACTCTGAGGACTCAGAGTGGTCTGTTGGGAAGTTACCTGTTGATGAGACCACTGTGCTAGAAACGTGAATGGAGAAAGGAGTGAGCTGGAAGAAGAAACCAGTTTGCTAAAGAACAGGTGACACTGGGCTGGACAATGACATGGAAATTCCTGGAAGGTGGCTCATTTGAGAAGGATCACCATGAAATGATGAAAGTGAACTGAATTTTCTAAGGGAAAAATTTTAAAGAAGATAGCAGGGGACAGGAGCTGGCAAGCCAATGAAGGGATACAAAAGGTACAGCACCAGAGAGAGAACTCAATGTGTTTATGTCAAGGAATTTTAGAAGGGAGTGTTGTAACAAATTAGACTGAACTCTAACTTTCCTTTGATACAAGCTCTTTTCAATCCAGTTAATTGGGTAAATTCTAGGCTTAAAAGTAAAGAACTCCAGAGTGTGTTTGTGACTGGCCAAAGCATACCTGGTAAGTCAAAGATTCTATTCTTCTGGTAACTTTAGAGCCAATTCAATCTATTTAATTTTTATGACCAGTTTATGAATACTAACAAGGGTTGAAGTTTCCCATAGTCTGTTTGGAGTAACATAGAAGGAGAGATTCACATTCCTTCATAGGGTTGTTCCTGAGCAAGTTAGGGGAGACTCGAATTTTCTGTGAAGGTTTTCTAGCAATTATTTGAAGTCGAAGTGAGTGGAAATTTAGCTCTCTTGATGTGCTTTTGAATTGTGAAAGAGATGAAAGATGCTGTGAAAATGCACCGTGCTGTGTTTGTTAGGAAACGGGCTTGCCCAAAAGAGCATAGCCAGCACCTGGTACACGTTCACTGCTGACCTCCCCAGTGCAGGTGCGGTGGAGGCTGTGGGGCAGGACGCTAGGCAATCCGGGTGGGCACTGCTCCTCTGCCGTGCTCTCCTTGGAATTCCAGAT